ATAATTTTTTTTTTTAAATTGACTGAATAATCCCCAATTTGTGTTTTTTATGCCAACAACCAGCAGGTTAAAAATAGTAATGACTCTGCTTTGTTACAGCTGCAGCTGTTGTGAAAGCGCTACATAAATCAGGATGTATTGTATTGTATTTTAACAAAGGAGTAGAAAGTACAACTATTGTTTTTTTGTTTTTTTATGTAGGGAGTAAAAGCATAAGGGCATAAAATAATTGAATTTGGAGGGGTGGGGGGGCTCCGCCACTTTGCAGTCAAACATATGCGACTACAGAGATATTAACATAAAAATTAAGGCTGATGAGTGACAACACACTTACCTTGGTCACGTCCACCCCAGTGAGGGCGTTGATAGAAACTGGGAGCTCGGCTAACAGACGGTTCACCTCCCCTGTCACACGGCTGCCTTCGCCAGTCAAGATCACGATCTCATTGGTCCTGGACAAGGGTGCGGCCACCTTGCCGGCAATCTAATACAGCACAGGGGACAACTTTTAGCATTTACAGTGTACAAAACAACAATGGCGTGCATTTCATGTTAGTGCCATTTTATTTCCTCATAATATACATTGAATGTATTTATTTATATCGGGTCCAGAAACACTCAGTGCAATTCACGTCAGCATGTAAAACCGAGAATGAATAAATTCAATAGACCTTGGGCAGTGCTTCCAGGACCAAAGCTGTCTTAGCGGCTTCACCGTACTGCTGGTAGGCTTCAGCCTTCAGCCTCATTTTCTCGGCTTCTGCCTTGCCCACAGCTTCGATGGAGGCGGCCTCCGCTTCACCGATGAAGCGAATCTTCTCGGCCTCGGCTTGGGCTGTCAGCACCTTCTTGATCCTGGTGGAGGGCAAGGAAAGCTTTCAGCGTGGCCCTTTTTGTTTGAGCCGAGGTGTGAGAGTGTTTCCCTACACGCTAAATGGGCTTTACAATATAACAGCGTCAATTTCACATTTTCATGATTTTAACGCAACGTTTTCATTGAACCCCACACCAACAGTGGTTCAATCAAAGTGATAGGCAAGCGACCGCTCCCACTCACTTCTGGCCCTCAGCCAGTTGCTGCATCTTGTAAGCTTCAGCCTCCGCGGGTCTCTTCACGGTGGCGATGAGCTCCTTGTCAGTGCGATCAATCTCCTTCTCCTCGATGGTGATCTGCTTCTTCCTCTGGACCACTTCCACTTCTATCTCCTCCAGACGGATCTTCTGCTGCTCTTTGGCTGCTTGCAGCTCATAAGCCAGCTGAGCTTCTGCTTTCTGAAGGACAGGATGGCTTCAGGATTTTGGAAGTCATAAGGTTGTTTGACAGCGTGCTCGTCAAAAAATGTTGTATAGTTTGAGAAGACCATGAAGCACTAGAAAAAGCTACAGAGCTGTTGTATCTTGAACGCTTTGTTTGAGGGTTAAGAAACTCAGGCTATGAAACTCCATACCTTTGGCATCGCTGCTATCTTAGAGTAGGGTTCTTCACGAAACACGGCACTTATGGAAAATTAAATGTGTTTAAAGCAAGAGGGGAGGTTAAAACGAAATTTAAAAAAGTATTTTAAATGATTTCACTGTAGGGGAGATTTTCACCTATTGTGGGGGCGTCCAAAACATATCAGCTGCTGTAAACACGATTTCACTCTATTTTAGCTCACATCATGTGTTCATAATACCTTTGTGTTGACTTCCTGATTGAAGGCAGCTCGCTGCATTTCCAGCTCTCGTTTGGAATCTGCCATTTTTGTGTCTGCCAGGAACTTAACATCCATCATTTCCTTCTTGCACTCAGCTTCCTGTTTAAAACACACGCACCCACAGATTGACAAACAATAAAAAAATAGAGATGTGGGATTCTGAAAGTGTTGGAAACTTGTCCTGCTCTCAGAAATCGGCTCTTGGATGATGGCACATTCGTAATTGCGAGTTCCTCCTACCCTGATGCCAGCGTCTCTCTCTGCCTCCGCCACTCCAATGTCAGCATCTCTCTGGACTGCAGCCGTCTGCGTTTTGCCCAGCGAGCTCAGGTACTCCACTTTGTCATACACGTCCTGACGACAAAATAAAGAGAAGCAGTTTGGTCATACATGCGTTGAAAGACAGGGTGTCAGCCAATCTTGTGTCTCAACCGGATTACTGAGGAAGCTAAACTGCTTCCTAGGTAAATCTTTGTGGAATGTAATCATTATGTAAACAAAAAGCAACCATTGGAAAAAAAAAATCATGACGAAATCTTTCTGGTCTCACACCTTTATGGTGAAACTGAGGATCTCGATGCCCATGCGGCCAACATCAGGTGCGGCCACCTCTCGGACCAGAGAGGCAAACTTGTCTCTGTCCTGGTAAATCTGCTCCACAGTTAAGGTACCTGGTGACATGAGTACAAGTGTTGGTGTTTCCTGTTCCAAGTCGTGCTTTTATAGTTATTATCATAATCTGATGACACAATTAATACAATGTTCAAAGAGCTATGGCGAGAGAAACATGTAACTCTGTACTGTTGCGACCCCACTTGCTGGCGATCAGACTAATCAGAGACCTTGCATGTAACAACTCTGCTACCTCATATAAGACTACGAACCATTATCAAAATATTTTGGCTCACCTCGGATGTTAATTTATTTAAAAAAAAAAAAAAAATCCCTTACTCCCCCCTCGATACCTACCGAGGATGGCACGTAGGTGACCCTCAAGGGTCTGCAGGATGACACTCTTGATCTCCATGACAGACTTCCCCAGGAACTGCTCGCAGGCATAACCCAGCAGTTCATTTTCTGTCATCACCTTTACCTGGCGTCAGTGTGGACAAACATTGTCAGCTGAGCATACACGGCAACTAATGAATACAAATGTGCACTTATTACTTTGATATGGCAAAAAAAAAAAAAGTTTAGCAAAAATGTGAATTATTTGGTCCTTAAAAATAATTCTGGTCCTATTGCTTTATTACAAATGACTGGTTTCCAGAAACATGCCACAGAGAACAGCAGCTGCTGGCTTGAATAATTCAATACAAGACTAAGTCATTTAGGTCATGTCCGCGTGTACATAGATATTTCCAAAAACGCTTTTTATACGTTTTGGCCTTTTTTTCCTCACCCATAAAAATGCCGTTTTTTTGTCCGCCCAAAAATGAGATTTTGGAAAATCCCAGGCAGAGGGAAGACTTTCTCAAAAAAAAAAAAAAAAAATTTCAGGGTAGTTTATGTCCAGAGATTTGGGCTAGTGCTGTTTGAAAATGTGCAACATTATACAACACATGATCTCAACCTATTTTAAGCTATATTTAACGAGAACATATCTAATGATTATGTTGCCTTGTGAGTTTTTAAATTTCATTTCGTGCAATGACAGAGTGTGACTTTCAAACACGTATAGCCAATGGGAAATGCATTCATCGATGGTGTTTGGATGTAGACACGGGCCGATTTCAAACAATCTGGGAATCATCCGAGAAAGGTTGTGTCGGAATATGTGCAAGAACTGACGTTGCTTTTACAGGCTTTTTCTTGGCCAAAATATGCTTGACAGCCAACTTCGGTGTTTTCAAGTGGCATCAGATTTGTTTAAAGCCAGGTTATGTGTGAATAGATAGTTTTGACCCCGCAGCTCGGAAAGTACACATTTTTAAAAACAGCCACATACAAACGGACATGACCTTCTGTCACCCTGGCTCAATAGAGATGCTACATGAGTTGAATCATGTGTGTTACTGGTGTGACTGTATGATTTATTGTACATATTGTTTCTGTCATGTCTCATGCTTATTACCCATGCACACAAAATAAGGGTAGGGAATGGGGACATCATTGACAGGAGGAGCTCATTTGTATGGCGGAGAAATGAAAAAAAATAAATAAATAAAAGTTGGGGACGATGCTGTACTCCACTAGGGCTGTCAAAAGAGAGAGAGAAGTGAGCTGGGTCCTTAGGCAAGTGGTTACACCATTTGGTTGGGTAACATGCACTCATACCAGGATTGAAGGACACACAACGTAAGGGGCGGTAATTGTCATTCCACGTCAACATCGACAGAGGGTGCAAGATGAACAACCACACGGCAGGCCAGTTCAAAAGAGCTCAGGCTCAGCCAAAAATAAAGTAGAATGGAAAAAGTGAGTGTCGAGCCTAATTGCTGACCTCTGACCTCCCACCACCCCGTTTTTACACTTCCTTCTGAACAGCACAAAAAAATAGAAAGGGGGAGTCTACATTATTCCTGGAATTTATTGATTCTTATTTCAATTGAGTGATGCCAGACAAAATATTCGTTTCAGTCAGCCAATTGGACAGCTTTGTAGTTGTAACAAATCTTATCGACATTATCTGAAGTTGGAAGAGGAAGGCCAAAGCAACAGTAAAACAGTATTGAGTTCTCTTTAGTATTTAGTGGATGGGCAATTCCCTCTAAACAAGCTGATAATTCAAGGGCATGCCACTCCCGTTGCCACGAGCCCCTACAGAGGCTTTGTATCCACTTGGACCAATAATACAGGGGCAGAGTGAAATTGTGGGCTAAAAGCAGTGTGAGAAAGTGAGGGGTCATTCCAGACAGTGGGCTCGTTGTCAGCATGAGCATGCATGGAAGAAAAGACACAGCGAGGAACAGTCGATGGTTTGAACACAGTACAGGGCTGATAATGAGGCATCTCCTTTCAACCACACAAAGGGCATGCACATAAAATCAGTGAACAACAGCCAAATCAAGAATTGAAATACAGAAGTCCGTGGTAGGTACTCAAATATTCTCAAAGGGGAAATAAGATAACCTTTATTTGCAGTCTACAGCAGCAAATCTGGGGGGGGGGGATCACTCATAAGAATATGTTTAGAAATCGTTCCATTTTGGGTGCAGATGGATTTTGCAGCTTATTAGAGCATAGAGGGGATTCTTAGAGACAAGTCCGATTAAAACAACCCACAAACTGCCTGTTTCTTTTTACTCGGTAGCCTGACTAGTTACGCAAATGTTGATGGTTACGTTGTATATTGCTTCAAGTTCCCTGAGAGTTATAGGATAGGAATAAGAGGACCACACATTCCGAAAACGAACCCCAAAAATATCAAGGAGCAATGAACATGGAGTGAGATTAACATGCAGGTAAGGTGCTGACAGCTTTTTGTCGTCACACTCATTTAGACTGCATCAGTTGAAACGAGGGACTCACAAACTATTGTGCCCGCTTAATGCATTGCACAGCAGCAAAGAAGTTTGAAATGAAAAATGTACTTTATATACGAAAAAAACTAATCTTGGATGCTATGCTGTCACTAATCTGAAGAAATGGCAGTGGGGGGAAAAAAAAAACTTTTTACTAGATAACCTCAGCTAGAGTGCTGTTGTCAAGTCTGAGTGTAGGCTTGGCCACATCCGTGTCATTCAACGTCCTCTGTACAACGATGAGGGCAAAACATGCAGAGCTAACATCTTGGAGGCAGGCAAAAAAAAAAAAAAAAAATGTTTGTATGGTAACCTGAGCCCTCTGTATGAAACCACCTCTGACGTGATTATGGGGTGATGCCAGACCAAAGGAAGTTGCTGGGATGCAGGGGACGACAGGGTGAGGGTGCGGGGTAAGTCTGAACTGGCATTCCCAAAAAGAAGCAGTGTGGTGATTTACCTGAGCCACCCCTGTGACAGTAATAGCTACACCCTCCGCTGTCTCTACATCCTCACACTTGGGCTGCAGGGTCATAATCTCAAGCGTTATCCTGTGAAGAATGTGGAAAAAAAATATAAAATAAAAACAGGCATGTTCGAAGGGGAAGCTAATGAAGCGAGGGGCCAGAACACAAGGAGAAAAAAATAAAATTAAAAAAAATCAGGACAAAGTGAAACCATTCACCCAAGGACTCCAGAGCACTAACAATGGAGTATGCGATGCTCCCCGAAACCAACCACTGAAATGGGTTTGCTGAAATCATTTTGAAATGCAGCTCTGCGGGAATCCCTCAACTTGTATGACTCTGTTTCCAAAGCCATTCCTATCGAATTCGTTGCCATATATTTTTCAGAGTGCAGCTTCACGACAATGTTAGTGACTGCTGATTGCCCTCGTTTGACGACAGGAGAGAAGCCACGTAGAGGAGAACGTACACACGTACACACGCACACTCCCACACACACTCTCACACGCACGTAAACAGGTTTTAGCTAATTAGTTGAGCCAGTTTTGCAGCATCTTCTTTTGGTCTTGAGCACCAGCCGCTGCTGTTTTTGTTGTTGTTTTTTTTTTTTTTTTTTGGGGTGGTCTCTTGAAAATACTTTACCTGGGCCACCCCAGTCACATCCAGGGGAACACCCTCCGAGGTTTCGATATTCTCACAGCGACAGAGGATGGTCATAACCTCCAGAGACATTCTACGCAGACAGGAAGGCAGGCCGCAGTAGCAGAGGCCAAACAGTAAGTTGGACA